TAACAGCCTGTCTTTCATGTGCCTACATTGTGGAGTTAGTACCCAGGTACTTTTGACTATAATGTTAGGTTTCCAACTACTGCTTATCTTGACTACTGTGATTTGTTATGTATGTTCTTTTGGGTTTCTTTGATACTGATATATCTATTTTAACTTCTTTTTTTTTTTCTTTTTTTGAGTTGGAGTCTCACTCTGTCGCCCACACTGGAGTGCAGTGGCCGCTCCCGGCCACCGCAACCTCCACCTGCTGGGCTCCGGCGATCCTTCTGCCTCAGCCTTCCGAGTAGGCGCTACCACGCCCGGCTGATTTTTTGATTTATTGTAGAGATGAAGTCTCGCTGCCCAGGCGGGTCTCGAACCCGCAGGCTCAGGCAATCCACTCACCTCAGCCTCTCAAAGGCGTGGGATTACAGGCTGAGCCACCAAGCCCGGCTTTCTATTTTAACTTCTAAAAGAACACATCAAATTAAAGTTTCATCAAAATAGACTATGAAGCATCCTAACAGGTCATTTTACAAACATCAGTAACCACAACTCTCTCAGTTTTTTGATATGCTTATTTAAATTAATACTTCTTATACTGAATTAACAAATAGTGCAGTTCAGTAATATATGACTAGGACCTAAAATGCCTCCAACTTTGAGGGAATATAAGCCATGATAACTCTTCCCACCTTCTTTTTCTTTAAAATGTTCATTTTCTACCAATAAATTTCAAATAATGCTTTAACCATTCATGACTTGTGTATTAACAACATTTACAAAAATTGTCCTCCATGCGTTTGAGACCTCCTGATCATTCTTTTCAGCATTGATGTTTCAAAAGAGTTAAGCTACAGTTTTTTGTCTATCAATGGTAGCTATAATTTAGGATCAAGCCAATTATATTGCTATCTTGCAAGCCACAGTAAGGCATGTCATGAAAAAATACTAAGTCAATTTATTAAGAGGTGTGAGATTGACAAATGAGAACTTTCCAGAGAAAGAATATTTACAACTATGAATAAAAATATACTTTCTATAGGAAAACTTACTAGTTCATATGTATAAAGGGATATATCTATACATAGTGGTGTTATGATTAGTAATCACAATTAAAATAGAAGTAAAAACTGAAGAATGCTGAAGGGCCACAAACTGCTGAGTATGAGCAAAGTAAAAACTGGAAACTAAAAATCTCAAATACCAGCTTAATTTTAGAAGATATATTTGAAAGAAAGAGGAGATTGCTTTTAAGTTCAAAACTTTTTTTTTTTTTTAAGAAAAAGATGAAGAAACTAAAGCATTTGAAGCGCTTCTTTCCAACATTGTCAAACCAGTGGTAAGTATGTCATGTATTTTCTTGACATTTATATTTAGTATATTCATACAGGATTTTGGTATATTTTTATTCAGGCTTTATTTAAAATTTAACTGCATATGTTAGAAATGTGAGATCAATGACAGACCATTATGGATCTGACGTAAGGGGAAGTACATTAATCAGTGAAGCAGAAGATTCAGACGGTCTATTTTTCAAAGAGGACATGATGTGTACTAAATGATGTTACAGGTTATTAGAACAGGTAGAGATCTAATAGTGTGGATATAACTGATTATCAGCTTTTTAATACACTTATATGTATATCCAGTTAATTTAAAATGTGAAAAGATTTAAATAAAGTCAAACAGTAGAATAATTAGAAGAAGATTGGTATTTCCAAGCCGTTTTTAAGTGTAGATGTAATAAAACAAAATGAGAAAAGGGCACTACAGCAGAATTGGCTATATATTAAAAAAAAGTTCTGCATATTTTCGAAATAGCCTAAATAAAGGCTAGGAAAAATATTTGACAGATATGACCAAAGATAAATATGTGTTCATACAAATTGAATTTTTTTAGCCTACTAAGACCCCAAAGGGTTTTTCACTGGTAATCAAAAGAAATACAAATTACACTTCTCTGAAACTATGAAGTCCCACTTTTCAATAACAAGCTACATAAGTGCCATTGTTTGTTGTAGCATTAATGTTAACAAAAAGTAAAACATAGGAATACATAGATAAATTGTGATCTTTTTACTGGTTCAAATGATGTGGCCATTTAAAAGCATGGTTATAAAGACTGCAGAAATATGCAAAGATGTTTTTGACAAGTAGGGGGAAGTGTTGGAGCCTGAACTACTTGGATACCATAATTACAGCCTCTTATAAAACAACTTTAGGTTCTAGAACTATGTATCCTGAGGCATGCTAAAGAATATTCAAGTTTGGATGTTTTGCCAGCAACTCTAGAAAACCAAATTCCTCATCTTGTCTAGACAAGTTTATCTTCTCATTTATTCCTCAAAAATGAAGAAGGAATTGGATTAAATTCCTTTTGTTTTCTGTTTCCTTTCCTTTCAACATTTCCATCAATAAAGATCTATCCAGGTTTCCCTGGGTCACAATATCATCATATTTCTTTGTTAGCTTTAATTCTCCCCATGCCAAATTAAATTCCAAGCTCTATTCTTTCACTATTTCTAGGATCCACTCTTGTCTGCTGCTGCCCCCTACTCTGACAGACACATACACACACTTCTCTCTCTCTCTCTCTCTCTCTCTC